CAGCCACTAGATGGCACTCTAGGCTCGCGTAGTAGTATCTGCTACTCTTGTACCACTGAAAATGTACATGTTTGTTATTTTTCACGCTGACAGACGCTAGAGGGCACTCTAGGCTTCTTCTTCATTATGGAATTTTTTGGCTAGTGCGACTTATACTCTGCAGCGTCTTATAGTCTGAAAAATATGGTAATCAAATTAAGGTGGTTACCTACATTTAATACATGTTTTACTTTGCTAGGGTTCGGTTCACATACCTATTATATATATTATATATTATATATATGGGCCATTCAACAACCTTTTATTATTGGCAAATATGGCATGTGTCTTAAACAAGACAACCAGACGTCTTGGGTGGGGGAGGGCATGATGGAGTGCTGCTGTACCAATGCTTGAATGATAACAAGCCTCCAGTCACTAGGTGGCAGCAACTCATACAGTGGTTTGTAAAGATAAAGATATATGCAGTACATGTTATGAAGTTCTCAATAGTATTTCAATTTGTGGGGGTGTGGATCAGAGGGACGGGGACGGGCATGACAGAAATTCAATTGCGAACCACTGCTTTAAGCCAAGGGACGCATTTAATGGCTGCTGTCTTTTGAGGTTACTCCAGGGGCAGTACTGAGGAGGAGGGATCGGGGGGGTGGATTATTCCAAACTCAAAAAGTATCAGACACACTACAATTTTACTATGGTTTCTTTTGAACCAGAGAAGAAAGTAAGAACTTTGCCCTGGGGGGATGTTCTCTTTTGACTACACAGCAGTCTCCATCGTCATCACCGGCAGCGGCAGAAGGGGCAGCAGTGGCAGGGGCAGGAGGAGCAGCAGCCAATTATAAGACCTGGAGAGAAACCGTTGTAGTCTAACTTTGAGGATGTCATCATTAGGGGCAGTCTGTACGGGATTCAAGACATTTCAATCCAGCCGTTTGATCCTCCTGTCAGATCTGATCTCAGCTTGTGTGATCTATTATGGATGGAGATGGAGGGGGTAATAAAAAGAAGTTTCAGTAGAGGCTCTCTAGTTCTGTCCTCAAACTGCATACGCTTTCTCTCCCATTGTCTCTTCAGAACATCAACTACAGCTTCTCGGGCAGTGACAGAGTGACAGGCTATTGCCGTAGCTTGAATAAAAATGTTCTGCTCTTTGGCCGCTCTGCGGCATGAGGAAGTCTAATGATCTTATCCACGCTTTCCCAGCTAACGCCTCATTCTACAGGGAGTAACAGCTATGTTGTGAGAGCTGTGAAAAAAAAAAAAAAAGTTCAACATTGCTGTGTGTGGCAGGTGTTGCGCAGCAATACCAGATGGACACTTGATCACTTGTCATACAATCCCGTAGAAAAATGCACTTTGACTAACTGATCGTTATTTATATATACATATATATATAACTGATAAGTAATCGTTATTTATATATATATATGTGCATATATGTGTATATATGTGCATATATATATATGTATGTGTGTAAATGTAAATGTGTATATACTGTATTTGTATGTGTGTATATATGTGTATGTGTGTGTGTATATATATACACACACACATACACGTGATATATTAGATTTAAATATTTTATAGTAATGAAGTTGTGAAACCTACTAAAACATGTGTCTCGTGACGTCATAGACGACTACTGTAGCAGTCATGTTCAAAGGCATTTACTCAAAGGTCAGCGAGGGGCTTCACAGGTCGTCCTCGGGGGGACAATGTGGTAATAAAAAAAAGTAAAGAACTAAAATGTTTCTCTCTAAAGTCAGCATCTCTCTCACTTGGACGTGGTCCAGCTCTGAATTTGTGGACCTGAGTAAAAGTAAAGTGAGTCTTTTGCTGATTTAGTACTTTTTTATTTTTCATAGTTTCCTTTCCAGTGAATCACTGGGACTGCGTGGCTGCAGTGCGTGTAGTTTGAAACAGGTTTTCCTTTTTTTCTTTCTTTTTTTTTTTTTTTCAGTATACCTAAAATAGAAGCTTTTTTTTCCTCTGGTCTGCTTCCATAACAGTTCCTTCCATATGAGTCTGTTTTGTTCCACCTGAGGCTTTTATAAAGATGGTTCTCCTCTGGGATAAACCCAGCAGCTGATGCGAAGCAATAGCTCAGGTTTCTCCTTCTCTTTTTCTAGCACACACACACACACACACACATTTGTTTTCTTTTCACGCATGGGCAGAACAGTGTGCGATGTACTGTATGTCCAATAATTCCACTCTCCATCAACGTATTGTTGCTTTAATGTGCAGTCTAGACACGCACGATTATTTGTGCACAGTGCTTGAGTTTAGAAATTCCATCTCAACACTTAGCGCAGCTTGCGTCAGGCCAGTCTCAACAAGCACAGGGCCGTAACTCTGAAGCTGACAAGCAGACTGATTCGATTGTCAAGGTGGACTGTGGGAAGGACTGTGGACTGCTGACGACTGCACTGAAGCCTTAAAAAGAAACGTCAAGATGCACAGCGAAGTCTACAATCCACCAACTCTTGTGGACAATTTATACTTAGTCTTAATTATTATTACATATTACAATAATACATTCTTGTCTTTCTGTAGCCAGCAATATACAGAAAGATGTTTTTTTTTTTTCATTTAGGAATGTTGTTTATCCATGTAAATCATGATAAACCTGATTTAAAAAAAAAATTAAATTATTATCAGATTCATTGTTTTCGATCATGATCAATCTTACTATATCTAATCGTACTATACCAATCCACTGACAGCCCTTATACAGTATATACAGAGAGAGCAATGCAAATTTGATGTGGCCTCGTCAGTGCCAGCGCTGGTCAACAGGAAGCAGGTCATGAACCAATGAACATCAGAGGCCCTTCTATATAAACGTATTATAAATACGTGACACGAGGAACAAGGTCAAAAGGGTACGCACTGCACTCACTTCCAGTTCACATACATGGAATCAAATACAAGTCCAGTCATCTGTGCATCTGCATTGCATCATGTCAAACATCCTAGAACAGCATGGATGATGCATGTGAATCATAACAACCCGGGTTTCATAACCTTTTCCATCACATATTTATTTCTTCAAACCTGTATTTAACCATAAGCAGTAATTATTATTTATATATATGTATATATATCTCCATATATGTGTATATATGTGCATATATATATACATATATATTTATAACTGATAAGTAATCGTTATTTATATGTATATATATATGTGTATATATATGTGCATATATGTGTAAAAACAAACAGAACAGAACAAAAGAAAAAAAAACAAACTCCAGATGCACAGGACAAAGTTAAGCTTTGTGAATTCATCAACTGACACGAATCCTATTCGCCAAACCTTTCTAATTTATATAATTGATTTATATTATCATTACACTTCTGCTTTTTCCCAGCAATGCCCACATTTCCACAAATAGATGGCGTCGAAAACGCTAAAAGCATTTTAGCCCTTTATGCATGTCTTAGTTTACACAGTCGCTCAATCTATCTTCTGCTGACCCGGCCCCGCCTGTTCAAAACGTCAAAACGTTTGCCCACGCCTGGACTAGAGGTTATTGTACAATCAAGATACTAAGCAGAGAACTTTGTGTTCACAATTTCTTTCTTTTGGAAGCAGCAGACCAAAGAACATGGCAGCAGTGACAGAGTGAACAGATGTATTGCAATTCTCACAGGTCATTGAGCTGTTGAAAGAAACAACACAAGTGGTTGTAAAAGAAAAACTTTCACTTTGTTTCACTGCACTTGACAAGGAACATGCTGTTTGGCTCCTTTGAAAACACTGGGCTTGTTGTAAAAAAAATACGAATGATTTCTGTGAATGTAACAATAGTGAAATGTTGAGGGAGATTGAAATAAACCTTATTTAAACAGCTTTTCCTTTATCATTCTAAACTCTGCTCTTCAAGTTCAAACTTTTGATAAATATATTGTGCAGACTAGGTGCCCACTTTTACTTTAATTGAACCAGAGTTTTAATTTAATTAATAGTTTGTTTATAGCCCAATAACTGCCAAAGAAATGAGCCTAAGCCGGCGTTTCCATTTAAGGCTAATAAGCTAATGTTAGCTTGGAAGGTTGATGTTAAAGTGCAAGTCGAGTGGCAAGTCTCTTTACATTTTGTCAAGCCGAGTCTAAAGTCATCAAATTGATGACTCGAGTCTGACTCGAGTCCAAGTCCTGCGACTCGAGTCCACACCTCTGCTAATAAGCAACTTAACATTGACTTCTGGTGGAGAAATATATGTTACCTACACCTTTATGAACCATGAGAACTATTTTCTTCCATGAGAAAGTAAAGAAGGAATATTCCATATCTCTTTTTTAAAAGTGTTGATATGTATTTTAAGTTGCACAGAACCTGTGATTCATAACAGAAAATGCTATTGACATGATGTTTTAACCCTGGTTTATATGAGATCTTATTGATCGGTGTTTAATACACTGACCTTCATAAAAGTCTTTCATGTGTCTTATGTCTCTGTGATTAAACTAAGGTGTAATGAAAAGTGACAGTGTCCCGTTGTTAGGCCGTGGAGTTTAGTTTTCCAGCCGAGAAAGCGATTAACCTGCAGGAAGATTGAATTAGAGGGAATGGGACCTGAGTTGACCTGACAGGTCAAGCTTGGATTTGGGATATTATTTTTTACATGCAAGGCAAAAAGTTGATTATAGCTTTTAACTGAGACGGACCAGATACAGCCATCTTTAGCCAACTCTACATGCTCTCATGTTATTGTCATTCCTGGTCCCGGATCGAGTACAGGTGAAGTGTTCAATATAGTGCAGACACTATGAACACCTCACTATTCACTACTCCTGTGACCCATGCTTGGTCTGTGTGCGTCATCACAGCTAGTATCGTATTTCCGGGCTATAAGTCTTTCCGGACTATAAGTCGCATCAGCCCAAAAAAAAGCATAATCAATAAGGAAAAACATATATAAGCAGATACTTGTACACAAGCCTAGAGTGCCCGCTAGTGGCTGGCAAAAAAAAACAAAGANGAGCTCCCTGTTGGCCATCATCACTATCTTCCTGCCCAGCGGAGGATGTGAGAGGAGGATCTGCACTCTGGCTGGTTACATGCAAATGTCTGCAGGTTGGTACAAACGTACATTCGCGATACTCAAGTTTTTGACATCACCGGTGTTGAATAAAACATCTTCTTCATCTTTTCATAACCCAGCCATTGTGAAGCAAACACACACAAAAAAAGGGGAGCGATCCTTCTCACTAATCAGTCAAAAAAAAGACGGTTCGTGAAGAGCACAGTTGCTGCTAGGCAACCAGAAAGTGTGGCATTTGTAGGGGTGAACTTTTGAAGCGAAGGCAAAGATAGATTTAGAGCCTGCTGTAAAAAGACAATTACGCTTGCTGAACACAGGTCATTGGTTTTGAGCTACACGCAGCTTATCAGGCTCGGGCTTTTCAGTCTTGTAAACAATGTACATGTCTTGTCAGTGCTTGTTCTTTAAAGTTATATATGATACTCCAACTTTAAAACTTCCCTACGTGAATGGAAGCATTTCACCGCTGTACTGGTACAAAAGTATCAGTATTTGTTCTTTTAAATTCAAAAGCCGTATCTGGTATTTGTCTGTTAAATATTTCACTGAACACGGCCTGTGTCCATACACCGATTTGGAGTAAATACAGTGTTTTTTCAAGTATCCATGCACTTAAACAGACATCAAAGATTGCAACTAATGAGAGAGTAAAGCAGCTTTATTCAGCTTTCGCCTTAAGTTGAAACTTGGAGAAGCCACAGTCGGCCCACATGACATAGTACCGTATTTTCCTGGACTATAAGTCGCTTTCGAGGGTAAGTCGCACCAGTGCCCTCTAGCGGCTGTCGGTGTTAAAATAACGAACATGCTAATTTTTTGTGGTACATGAGTTGCAGATACTGGTACGCAAGCCTAAAGTGACCTGTAGCGGCTGTCAGTGTGAAAATAACAAAAAGGTGAAATAATATATTTTAACCCTTTCATGCATGACCGTCACTACAGTGGACAGCTATGAAAATGTCATTTTCGATGATAAGAATAGGTTTTGATGGCAGTGTTGCATATAAGACTCTACAGTGGACGCCTGAGGATCACCCAACACGTGTTGTAGCAGAGAGAAAACTGGGTTTTTATTTCTGTAACTCTAATCTTTTATGCATGCTTCTTTCTTTTTTTTTTTTATCAACAAACTACATTTTTAATCTCCACAAACTTTCAATTATAATTTTTCTCCCCTCTTCTAATTCATCAGAGTCAGCAACACTATTGTGTACCCTATCCGTGGCATATAAGTCACAAACCCAGCCAAAGATATGAAAAAAAGTGCAACTTATAGTCCAGAAAATCCAATGGTGTACATAAAAAAAATACAGGTTGCATTGCAGTTATAAGAGATTATGCACAAAGTGACAAATGATAAATAGTTTCACTACTGCTTGTATACATTTGAAGAAGTGCGTCTTCTCTTTTAAACAACCCGCAGGTCATTCAAGTTAGGTCCTTATTTATACTTAATATATTAGGTTTACTTGGATTTGTTTAAAGGGGTTGGAAACCAACAAGGTGCAGTTATAGTGGCTAAGTCTAGTAGTAGTTCTTTGGTAGTATTTACGGAAAAAAAAAATCATATGGTGATATATAAGAGCCTGTTAGTGCTTCATTAGTACGTGTTGTAGCAGAGAGAGAGAGAACTGGGTTTTTATTTCTGTAACTCTAAGTGTTGTAGCAGAGAGAAAACTGGGTTTTTATTTCTGTAACTCTAATCTTTTATGCATGCTTCTTTCTTTTTTTTTTTTATCAACAAACTACATTTTTAATCTCCACAAACTTTCAATTATAATTTTTCTCCCCTCTTCTAATTCATCAGAGTCAGCAACACTATTGTGTACCCTATCCGTGGCATACTGAGTAGCTAATTTGAATGCATACCTGAGGTGTTAAATGAGCGTAATTAGAAGCTAAATATATTATGCAGGAAAATTTCAATTTTCCCCAGGCTGGTTAATGTTATGCCTTAAGGGTGCTTCTAGCTTAAAGTGACCAAACCAATGTTTTTGGCTGACTTTGAAATCACTGTTAGTTGGTATGTGTACGAAGGAGCTTACGATCCTGTTCAGTGTCTCTGAGTGAAAAGCAAGGACTTTGTTCCATTTCTACTCTTGATTGTATTGTATGTGTATTAGTCAGAGGTGGGACCAAGTCATTGCTTTGCAAGTCACAAGCAAGTCTCAAGTCTTTGCACTCAAATCCGAATCAAGTCTCAAGTCAAAATAGGCAAAGTCCGAGTCGAATCCAAGTCAAGACTGAAAAGACTGAATACTAAGAAAAGAAACAGGACATCGTATGAAATTTAACAGCGTAATAAACTTCGGCCAGTAACGGGCTGAATTTAAATCGACCTTGCACTTTTACATCCTTTCGCTTCTGTCTGCTAAGAAATATGAACTTTTCTAGGTAGACAGACTTTGGGTTTAAAAAGCTTTTCATTTTTCCACCTGGACTGTTGAATTAATTTCACACAGTAACGTAATTTCCGGACTATAATCCGCTACTTTTTTCACATGATTTGAACCCCGCGGCTTAAACAATAATGCGGCTAATTTATGGAATTTTACGGGCTAATGTAGTTCATACCGCTAGCGATCATTGACTTGGTAGGCTACTGTGTGTTATACTAGTAGCTTATGTGTGTCTGTGAATGGCTGTTAAAACTCTGTTTATGTTCTGTTGTGATCGGTGTGGCTGATAATAAAGACCCCAACTTCACTGTTTCTGTTTACCTCTGCTGCGGACAAGCGCAAAGTGAAGGGAGTTAGCCCCGGAGCTAATGTTAGCAACAACCCTGGAGCAGATCACTAAGTCTCCCCTGTCCAACTACAGTCGGGGCGCTGAAGGAAGAAAGAGTGGAACGTGTGCACGGTCCGGAAAAAAGCTTTTATTTAATTAAATGTGAAAAAAAAAAATTGTGTAAATATCCCATGTTACAACGTGAACACCCGCAGCTTACAGTGAAGTGCGGCCTATATATGTACAATAATTTTTTTTCTTTTGAAATTTAGTGGGTGCGCTCAGTAGTCCAGAAATGACGGTAAATATTTAATCTCGTTGAATCTATACCCGTTTATCTGCATCATCATCACTTACTGTCAAGTGCAACTCGGAAAGCACTGACTTTGGCTTGGCAAAGGAAACTCTATATGTACTCTATGGGTTGCTCTATATGTGTGTTTTCCCTATCTGAATTCATATATATCTGAATGATGGCGACACAAATACATTCTTACAAGAAATCAGATTTTAAAAAAAATAATTTTTTTTTACTATTGGACTTTGACAAGTATGTGTGGATGATCGATCCTGTCGTCATTATAATTCTTAAGGGTTCTTTTTTTTTTTTTTCACTTCAAGCAGGGCTGAAACACTGTTTGATTGTCTTTGAACTTTCTGCAGCAGCCCCCGGGCCAACTGTGTAGCCGTCTTCTCGTATAGTTGTAGCTCCGTAGTGAAATCAATGCTTCTTTTTTGGAGCCAAAAAACGCTTTTCACGTTGATACTTTCTTTGCCGGCCCGTTAGTACATCTTCATGACAATCAGGCCCTTTAACTCTTTTGATCTTTTTACTTGTTTTGCTTCAAGATAAGATATTTAATTCTCTTTCATCGTGAGTCAGTCGGCCCGAAGCTCCCTCGCAGCTCAAAAGTACATCTTGCAGGGAAAACTTGTTACCAGAAGAAGAATCCCACTGATCCCATGAAAAAGAAAATCAAACAAAAAACTCCGCTTATTGAACCGAGATGTGTGTCGAGCAGAGGTGGGACCAAGTCATTGCTTTGCAAGTCACAAGCAAGTCTCAAGTCCGAATCAAGTCTCAAGTCAAAATAGGCAAAGTCCGAGTCGAATCCAAGTCAAGACTGAAAAGTGTCAAGCCCCAAGTCCTGCCGTTTCTGTTTCGAGTCCTTCCACTCACTGCCACTCGTTTTTTGTTGATCATCTCGTAGTTTTTAAATCCGAACAACACGATCTTTGGTATCATTTTCTCTAACCCGCGCGTTGTTAGACAGCTCTTTCTCATCGTTTGTCCCGCAATTTGATTGGCTCGATATTAACGCGTCAAAACAACGTGGGTCTAATTTGTTTCGGAGTTTCGGGTTTCGGAGAAAGTCTCAAGTCTTGTCGAGTCAAAGGGCTCGAGTCCAAGTGAAGTCACGAGTCATTGATGTTAAAGTCCAAGTCGAGTTCCAAGTCTCTTTACATTTTGTCAAGTCGAGTCTGAAGTTATCAAATTGATGACTCGAGTCTGACTCGAGTCCAAGTCATGAGACTCGAGTCCACACCTCTGGTGTCTAGTCTTGGCTTTTGTGTGGTTAAATGTTTGTGTTGTGTGTGTGTGTGTGTGCAGACAGGAAGTGACCTAGATTTGCTTAAGTGTGTGACATTAAAACCCCTACCTGGGACAAACCTTGTGTTGACAACAGACATTAATCATGGATGCGCATCGTGTCAGTCATTGTGTTTGTGGATTACAACCAAGACACACACACACAGAGATTTATGGGAAAAATCTTGTGCATTATATTTTTCATTACTTGGACAAATTCATATATCTAACCTTACCTAGAGTTCTCCATATTTTGAACTGGTGTCCTCTGCCATCTCCTGATGATTACTGCTTAGATTGGCACTAGCTCCCTCTGCTGCCTGATTGGTAGGATTCCACTGTAGAATGGATTGATCTTTATCTGACCTTTAACTGTACTCACCCCCCCCC